ACTTCAGTGTTTACAATGGCCAAGAAGTGGCCTCTGAACATTTATGACTATGCTTTACAGCATTTCACATGCTCTTTCTGGAAGATCTGATTAAGCTCATGGTCATAGAATCTGAACAGGAAAACCGAGTCCTTTCCTACTTGCTCCTGAACCTTATGGAGGCTTCATATGCACTAGTAAATGGTCTATTTTATCATAACTAAGAAGTATTAGCTGTTTCATTATAAAAATATCGTGGAGATGAGCACTGTATTTAGCCATGAGATAAACATGTCAAGGTCAGCTGCAGGACAATGAAAAACATAACAGAGACCTTGTCTATCTGCCTTGTAGCAAACACCATAAATGCCTTGTCTCTACTTGTTTTTTTTAATTGCTCTTTAATAGCCTCAATGTTTAAAACAAACAACCCCCCAAAAAAACTAACAAAAGAAAACCAAACAACCCAAAAAACCCCAAACCCGAAATCACAACAGCAAAAACCAAAATGCATCTTTATTTCCAGTAGGACAGAGCTTATGATAACCATCCACTGAAGTGGATGCACTGATGTTCTAAGCAAATAAACCCAGATGTCTGGAAGAGTTCCATATCTATCTCTTGCTTTGGACATGCATACCTTATATAAATGGTTATGGGGAGGAGAGGAAGGCGGGTATAAATAATTATTATATGAAACCTTTTCATATTATGGAGAAAGTTTTTGCACATCATAGACTGGGAATTTTTCCCTCTCACAAATTAGTATCACTTTTATTCCCTATGCTACTAACCCTCCTGACACACAGAAAATGTTTTCAGTTCAGAACCTTGACTTTTTTTATCGAACAATTAAGCAGTACATTTCATTTCCCTTGCAACGCAGTGACTGGAAGAAATTACAATCCTGGAATAACAGTATGAAATTACAACAATATAAAATTATAATCAGTACTAGAATTACATAGTAATGACGATATCTGTTAGGTTGTGGTTTTGCCTTCCGAAAGATTTATGAAACATTCATTGCTCTACTGGGTGATGTAACAGAGTAAGCCTACGTTAGTCAATGGGGGGAATTTAGGATTACAATGCCTCTGTCAGATAAAAACAGAGTCTGTATGAGAAAAACCATGGAAATACACCAGTGTCTGGTCTTGAAGAATTCCATGACAGCATGAGGAGAAAAGATGACCTTTTGACAATTTTTAGAAAAGATGCAGCTCATATGTGTAACACAAGCTTTGAGTACAGTACCTAGGCTCCATGGCGGATATGAAAAGGCAAGGCCTTACACATGTTTGAAGGCTGTGAGATTCCTCACACCAGCAGCAGTGCTATCATTTCACCACATGCACTGCTTGAACTATGCAAGTTTACTTAGGCTGTTCAGAAAAGATGGAAAAACAGGACACCATGTCTTCTCTCTGTCAGTACATGGATAAAGGATTATAGACAATCTTCCCTTGTTCCACAGATCCCTGCCTTCTGCTGCGAGACAGTGCCTGTTTGTGAATGCAGATTTTCTGCAAAGCTCTGTCTATGCTCTGGCCAGGGCTGAAGAAGGGGCAGCTCCTCATGTCCAGCCAGAGGGGTGGAGTGGCAGGGGTGGTTAGCCAGAGTTCACTCCTCTGGCAAAGAGCTTGCAAAGGTCTTATTTGTTACTTCTATATATATACAAAGGGACTTCAATTAGCTGTATGCTGTCTGAGACAAGAGAGCCTTTATAAGCTTCAAAATGGCCTACAAAATAGCACTTCTGTTCCTTCACTGATGTGTGGGACTCTCGGACTCTACCGTGGGATGTACAATGGCTACTGTGTTACGCAGAGCTGTATCTGGGTTCTATCTGGAACCTGCTTTTTCGTGGGGTATTTATAAAACTAGCCAATTTTCAGACTGCTCACGTTTGTCTTAAGAGACAAGATGTCTTTCAAAAGATAATTCAGAATGAACTCTGTGGGTGCTGTATTACTTGCAAGCTATGTAAAGTGAGGAAAAGGGCAATGAAACTATGTCAGCAGGTGATCACTGGAGCAGCAGTGCTGACATGAAAGGACTGCATGCCTGAACACAGACTCAGGGAGGTTAAACTTGCTCCTGTCTAAGAACAAGGCTCTGGAAAGAAGTCCTGCTCTTTCAAGCTGGTGCAGGCAGGGCATCTTAAATGTATGTGGAGAAAGAAGAGGTAGGGCATAGCTAATGAAAGGGAGAGACAGATACATAACACCATTGGACTGACTTTCCCTAACAAAGTGGTTTCACCTGGAAAGAAAATTAAGATTTCTAGGACTAACAGAGCACCATTTTATACAGGGTTTTGTCAGGCTTCAGTGAAGACAGTGCCCTTCACTTCAATAAATAGTTTAAGAATCAGAATTAGATGCATTCAAGATAAAAGGTACACAGTTTACAACAAGAATAACTTACAAAAGAACAGATAATTTTATCATTTTGTAAAGACTAGATGTCATTGTAATTGTTGAATATAGAATACACTAAACCACATATTGTTCTTTTACAATGTATACTTTCATACTTTTCTAAAATAATATTAATTCTCCCTTGATATGATAAGTGCTCACTACACTGAAAGCTACTCTCTACAAGGAAGGCGGGGTGAAGTAAGACAGTAATATATCTAGATAATTGGTAGCCAGATGTTACATCATCCTCACTACTAACTTGGAATGCAGATAATCAGCAAAGCCGAGATGCAGAACAAAATTTTGAATTCAAGTGTGATCTGAACTGAGACAAAAGGGGCAATATCTTAGTGGCAGAAATTAAGACTCCAGAGTCCATGACTCCAATGGCCTCAATCTGTTGAAAATCTCTGGAGAAGTCAGTATGTTTCCCAATTTCTACCAAAATAAAAAACATGAAAGCATTTAAAAGAAGAGCAAGGCTGCAAAGGAAAGTACTAAGAATTGGAGCTGTAAGAATTCTTGCAAAGTGCATACTGTTATAGTCTCCTTTGTCGCACGTGCATTAGAGCACTCTCAACCGCAGGAACAGCTGCTTCTGTTCCCTTCAGATTCTTGGCCTCATTCAACACACAAAACACAATGTTCTTGCTCTGGGCATGAATTAGGCATTGGTAGCAAAAGTAGTGAGAAGACGTCTTCTTCACTTCTTGCCAAAGTCAGAAGACACAGAAGCAAGTAAATACAGTAAATACTTACTGTAGATAGAGGCAATAAATAAAGCAGAATAGTGAAGGGAAAAGAGAGAAAAGAAAAAAAGTATTTAAAGTAGGATTCTAATATAGCCTCCGGCAATAGACGTTTCTGTGCTCTAGTGGAAAAGTCACCCACTTTCTTAGAGGTGCTCACTAATGGTGTATCGCATGTTTTCTAGCTGACCCACCTCATACACCTTTAACCTTTATTGTCAACGTACATTATGTTTGCAGCTAAAAGTGAAGCCATAGGGAGCTGGGCACTTAACCTGTAGCATTCAGTACACCCTGAGCATCATTTTTAAAGGGGCATTCAGAGGGAGAATTACCTGCTTTGGTCTAAGCTGGAGTAATTATTTTCAGTGTCCCGTTAACTGAGTATCTAAAACCCGGCATTTGAGAGATGACAGCATTTGGAATTAAGCAGAAGAATCACCAACAAAATAGAGAAACACACTGAAAGCCACAAAATTTTCCAGGGCAAGTTCTAAATCTTAGCAACAGCGATGGAAACCATTTAACAACAAAGTGTTCAGCAGATTAACTCAACATAAGCAACCTGTAATTGATTTGCTGAAGCTGCCCTCAGGAGGATATCTACCACTAATTAAGAGTTGAAAGAGGAAAGGGCAAAGCCACAACAACTGAATCATAAAGAGATGTCTTGAACTGTGTAGAAGACTGCTTTTTTACTGAAGAGAATTTTATTCTGTGTTGATGTTATTTGCTTTTGATAACTATTAAATGAGGCAAATTAAACAGGAAGGTTTTTTTTCCAAAGTTAAAAACACAACACTGTAACTATTATTGCATCAAAATCCACCATGAAATTTATTGGAAACTCTATCAAGATCCTGCCTGAGAACACAGTTACAGACTAAGCAATAAAATTATATATACACATGAATTATCATCTGAACATCTCCTAATGCATACAATTTAAATCAATGTCTGTGATTTTTATTTGGGTTTTAAATAAATTATGTTGGCTTCCTTCTATGTCCAGCACTTTCTGATGCAGTCACATGAAATACTTTTTTTTTTTTCGAGTTTATTGTTTTAAAATAATTTCACACAGAAAAGGTGACAGGTAATAATAGCTTTGCTGCTATTTTTAGCAGCAAAGAGTTAAGGCCTTAAAGAAGAATCCTTTATTAATAAAATTCATAGCTAGATCACATTAAATCTTTAACCATGTAATTATCTATTACCAACTACTTTTCCATGCTTGTGCATTTGCAAACTGTATTGTGGCAAAAGAAACCTCCAGAACATTCATTCCTTTGATTAAGGATCTCCTTGACTTGAGCATAGCTACTGCCAAGCTCTATTGTCAGCTTCATTTGTCTGTCAAGATGGCAACATGGATATCACCCCTCTTTCCTCAGATGGAGACAAAACCTACTAAAAATCACAAGGAACTCGAGCCTCCTGACAATACTATTTTGATATTATCAAATATCAGCAGAGAGATTGTGAAACACTGAAACCATGCAAACACATACAAAGAACAAGAGCAGGATAGCCTCAAACACTGAATCGTGTTTCCTCTTATTGCTGTGACGCAACTGCCTAATTGCTCCACACCGATTTGGACACTGAACATGAACATGGGACTCCCTATTGGCAATTAACGGCATTAGATCTTTCTTGGATAATTCTTCATTGTTTACTTCTTTTTTGATATGATTAAAATAGTACTGCTAAATTCTATTTCACCGACTTGCATGTCTAAATTCACCAGGTATATGTCCTATTTATAAAGGAATAAGCACTGTTGTGTTAATTGCCTTCATACATAGTTTAGTTTCAAATTATTTAAGAAGTAGGGGTATCTTACCAGGACTGGTTCTGTACAGCTCAGATGGGCTGCTGACCTTTTGGCTGGAGGGAATCCGCTGATGGTATAGTGGAGGTGTTTTCACTAGGAGAGAAGGAAAAGTACAGTTCCTCTTCAGTAACAGCTAAAATGTTAATAGTGCTATTAAAATAAATAAATAAAAAGAGACACATTTCCTTACCATATGATGTCTCTGGTGACAGAGGAAAAGCTGGTGTGGATGGGACAGCTTCATTTCCGTTTTTTGTTGGGGAGAAGATTCCCCCATCTATTTTATCTTGGTAACATGCAACACCCATCTAGAAAGAGCACAAAAAAGCAAAATTACAGCACAAAAATTCCCACTTAACCCTACAACACGGGGGCATTTTTCATCAGATTACAGAAGGATTCATATAATCTGATCCACTGTTCCAGCAGAGAGATCTTGGAACACTGAAAACATGCAAACACACAGAGAGGACAAGAGCAAGACATCCTTAAACACTGAATTGCACTTCTGAGATAACTACAGTCATTTGTTCTTATTGCCATGATGCAACTGCCCAACTGCTTCACATTGATTTTGGACACTGAACATAAACATGGGACTCCCTGTTGGCCATTCGCTTCAATAAATATTTCTTGAAAAATTCTTCATTGTTTACCTCCTTGGTCTCCCCTACAGGAATCGGTGATGCTGGATTTACAGCCTGGTCAGCAGCAGGAGACTTCATCCATCCACACCTGTTATACGATGGCTGCCCAGGAACATCATTGTCATACTGCCCAACACTTAACTTTCTGATCCTTCCCCCTGTTGCATCATCATCTTGTGTACCTGTTGCTGAAAACAAATAGGTAAACTGATCAATAAACTATTTTTTTTCAGTTAGAGCTCTTAAAACTAACTTCACTATTGTGTCTTCAGTGATTCTGTTCAAGAATGCTCATGAAATTACTGGTTTCATAACTGCTTTACAAAACCACACAGATAGGGAAAAAAAATCGGTTGTAGTTAGCCTTGCTGACACAAGTTGGAACATATTTGCAGTACACCTGGTTCCAGAGGAGTGAAAGCAGCATGTTTCTTCTCATGCTCATTTTTGGAAGAGGTTACTCCAATGCCACGGGTAGAGCCTGCCAGCAGGGGCCGCTACGGGCAGCCAAATGGGAAACCTCTCCATCCAAAACACATCAGCTCTCAGCAGCAAAACCACTGCTGCTCTCCAGGACTGTGTTCTCCCCGAAAAACAGCTGCTTTTTAGCTAATACAGACCCTAGCCCTATAAACCCAGCTCACTGTACACCTTTTGTGACACACATGGCGATCACACTTAATCACAAAAATTAGGTATTAGATACACACAGGAGCTGTAACCTTTTGTAGTCTGAGGAGCAGAGCACAGGAGTAATTCGAGCCAGCAGAACAATCCAGGACATTCGAGGGCATAAACCAGTATTTGTTTCCAAAGTCACTATTAAGAGAGTGCCATTAGGTACAGCTTTATGATTAGCAGGACTTTATATTTAGTCATCCACTCCCACCAACAGGCAATCTCAGAATATTCCTGCAGCAATTGCTTTTTCCACCCTTCTTTGTAAGAATAAATCAACAATAAGGATCCCACAGTAATCCTTACTGTATAGTCACAGGACAGTACAAAAATAACGGTATGCATACCAACTTTTCAGATACTCCTCTGGGAGTTTATATTGTCTATATATGCAAAAAGATCTTTGAGAATTAGCTATTTCTCTTAAAAGAGCTGAGGATTTCTAAAAGAACTTATTTTCATTGCTTGGTGTCATTTAAACTCCTACAATCATTTCCAACTGCAAGTATGTGTTGATTAAGCACATCTCCTACACAGCCTGATCATGGAGCCATAACAGTAGGTGTCCAAAGCATGCCCTTCACCTAAACCAGCAGGAGGGCTGAACGAGCCACTTTGGTAGAGAAAGACAATAGCGTACACCTTCCACACACACCCGTTTCCTAATCTGAAGTAGCTGACAGAAGCTAAGGTGTAAAATCTGGCATGCAGCATAAGTGCCTGTATTATAGACATTTCACCTTGATTATATAGCATCATTATAGAGCATCAATGCGCAAATAGGTTTCTGTATAGAAGAACAGTTTTTATACAAGATTAAAATATAGACAGGCATTTCAGACTAAAATCCATGGTACTTAAAAGTGATTCTGCCCTGACATACATATGTATCAACCTGAATAACTTGCTGGCAAGTAGTGGCTTATCCTAAAAATACTAATAAATCTCTTCTAAAACTACAGAATTAGACACTTTCAAAAATCCAGCTCTGCTACCATCACTACTAAAGCCAATAAACAAATAAAATCGTGCTAGTCGCTTCTGAAAATTCCAATAGGGTTAAATTTCAGGGTCCAAATTTAGCCAGTTATTTATTTTATCGAGTCAATATAAATACACCTAGCACATCTTGGAAAAGAGATTCTGTTTTTATGGTACAACTTTGAAAACTAAAATACTTTTTAAGCACCCATATTTTAAACACTTACTTAACCACCCTTCTTCCCCTGACTAGGAACTTTACGTATGGTCTTTGAGGTGGAAAAAGTATCTTCTGAAGACACTGTCAGCAAACTAGATGCATCAAACAAGATCTTCAAAGCCCGAAAAGGACATGAAATCACAAGTATCTTCCAAACCTCTTAAGTGATGCTAAAAAGTCATGAAGATTTCTACTGAAATGGAAGACGCTTAGGAATGTAGACAGAGTTCATACTACTCCAGAATTTACCAACTTTTTGCATTGGAATTCTTTTTTTGTTCGTAATTTCTGCAAAGAAAAATGAGTGCGAATCACTGTGCAGAATCTCGGCCTTTGAAGAGACCATCTGTGACCAGGCACTCACAGTCCCACCTCTCCTCTGCAGGAGGCAATGGGAGCCAGGAACAGCACATGGGAGTTTCACTCCATTTGTGACCAAGTTATTAAGGTACAGGCACTTTCTTTCTGAACGTGCCTCTCCTACTTAAGACAGCCATGTCAGACTACTTTATGAGAGAGAATGTCTACCTTTTGGATAGGTCAAAACAGACCTTAAAATTTAGTGCAGATTTTACTTGTCATGCTAGTGATAGGGCTTCATCATCAGTGATATTCATACATTCATGCCATTAGTATTTATACACTCGTGAAGCCTGTAACTTCTACAAAGTTAATATAGTCAGAAAGCTGCAAACGGGTATCTCAGAGGAATGGGACATTTTCCTTAAACAGATTGGAAGTGCTTTACGTATCAAATTCCAGCAGATGTTGGATGACAGAGGGGAGAAGTTGAGCTGATATATTGTAATAAAGCTTAAAGCAAATAAGTTGCATCTAAGAGATGAAAATTCAGTGAATAAGTCAGCAAAAAAAGACTTTTACTTAGTTTACTAGTTCCATAAATGTACTCCAGAGCTGCCTCACTTAATGTAACAGATGTTTAGAGTTATTAATTTAAAAGACATCTTTTACAGTGCAAAGTGTCAGGAGCCAAGACTTCCTAGAAGTCACATAATTCGTTTTTGTTCTTGTAGTTTAGCTTAAAGTTTTGGCAGATCTTCATAAATATCCCAGGAGCACATATTTATTTCTTTGAAAGCATTTTGTATACTCTCATTTCTCTCTTTTCCCTTGTGAACTACAAAAATAATTTTGTTTTCCCTGAAGAACAAATAACATTCCAACAGATTGGCATCAGAACAGCTTCAGGCATTTATCTTGTGAGATGGCTATCACCATGCTAATGCTACAGCTAACAGAAGCATGGCCAGTGGTTAAAGGTTTGATTTTTTGTTTGATTTCTTTAGCTGCTTCACTTTCCTGGAGTACTATTGAGAGGTATTTATAACTATTAGAAAGAAAACAACACTAAGCTAAAAATCTTGTCTGCAGTGGCATGTCAAAAACAGTGCTCTATCTTGTATATTAGCAGTTGTCCCAGCTGAACTTCAAAAACTATTATGTCAACTCTTCATGTGTCATACATGTTTGTATTTACTAAGTGCATGAGGCACACCATTAAAAAGGTCCACATTTATTTTCAGTTATCACAACAACTAGTAAGATGATGCTTACATGTTTCCACTTGATTCACAGGGCTTGTGGGCTAGCCTCAAAAGCAGCTTTATGTGAGAGTGGGGCAAGCACAGTGTACATGCTAGAACTCTCTGGGAAGAACTTTTTGTGGAGGTGGAAAAACAAGCTGGACCAACAGACCTTCTTCCCATTATGGAAGTCTTTATCGTTTGTAAAATAGAACTATCAGTCTTTTCCGAAACCCAGCATAGCCCATCAAAGACCTTCCCTTAACTTCTACCTGGTTTGTATCACAGCCAACTGTGCAAATTACAAACTGGAAACCCCTTACAACAGATAATTATAAAACAAAGTTCATAAGAAATATGAAAGTTTCAGCACCTTGTTGTTTACTGCTCTATAAGGGGCTCTAAATCATACTTATTTATTATTTATTATTATTTTATTTATTATTTATTTATTCCTCTGCATTGTTTTTCCGGATAGAGTTTTTTTTCCTTTTAAACAAAAGCAATGTATTATAGAAAAGTCTTACATAAACCCTATAAACAAACTTCTCCAAACTGGTTTGAGGGGGGGAAAAGGATTATGATACATTGGATCACAACAGGATAAAAATGCTTCAGAGGCTATAGATTCATGTGTTATCCTGGTTACCACTACAAATAAGTAAAAACCATATTTAGCAGTTATTTATTCCTTGAATAACCTGCAGGCTCCATAATGTACTTCAAATTATCAAAATAATAATAATTTTCTCTCCTTTAGTATTAAGGAATCAGAATAGAATAGACTATTTCAGTTGGAAGGGACCTACAATGATCATCTAGTCCAACTGCCTGACCACTTCAGGGCTGACCAAAAGCTAAAGCATGTTATTAAGGGCATTGTCCAAATGCTTCGTAGACACTGACAGGCATGGGGCATCAACCACCTCTCCAGGAAGCGTGTTCTAGGGTTTGACCACCCTCTCGGTAAAGAAATGTTTCCTCATGTCAAGTCCGATCCGAGGCGCTAAGTCTAGTTGGAGGCCAGTAACTAGTGGTGTACCCGAGGAGTCCATACTGGGTCCAGTCCTGTTTAACACCTTAATCAGCAACGTGGGTGATGAGGCAGAGTGTACCCTCAGCAAGTTTGCTGATGACACAAAGTTGGGAGGAGTGGCTGATAGGCCAGAGGACCATGCTGGCATCCAGCATGACCTCGACAGGCTGAAGAAATGGGCACACAGGAACCTCACGAAGTTCAACAAGGAGAAGTGCAAAGTCTTGCACCCGGTGAGGAACAACCCCATGCATCAGTATATGCTGGGGCCCACCCAGCTGGAGAGCAGCTTGGCAGAAAAGGACCTGGGGGTCCTGGTGGACACCAAGTTGAACATGAGCCAGCAGTGTGCGCTTGCAGCAGAGGAGGCTACCATCCTGGGCTGCTGCATTAGGCAAAGTATTGCCGGTGGGCTAAGGGAGGTGATCCTTCCCCTCTACCCAGCACTGGTGAGGCCATGCTTAGAGTACTGGGCTCCCCAGTACAAGAGAGACATGGACACACTGGAGAGAGTCCAGTGAAGGGCCACGAAGATGATTAAGGGACTGGAGCATCTCTCTATTGAGGAAAAGTTGAGAGAGCTGGGACTGTTCAGCCTGGAGAAGAGAAGGCTCAGGGGGATCTCATCCATGTGTATGAATACCTGAATGGAGGGTGCAAAGAGGACAGAGCCAGGCTCTTTTCAGTGGTGCTCAGTGACAGGACCAGAGGCAATGGGCACAAACTGAA